ATAGACGAATATTCATCAGACCCTACTTGCAACACTGGAAATATATCTAAAGCAACGCAACGCGTTATGGGATCGAATCGTCAGAGGTTGGAGGTCACCGAAAGCAGACGGACACTGGTCCATCGTTGCAGGAGCCCCACCAAAATAAGAACTCCAAATCGACACATTTCACATGGCTACATTAGTAGCACCGAATCAGATCCTGAGGAAGAAAATAAACTTGCTACTGAAAAAATTAACTTCCCTATAAAAATAACAGAAGTGCGCAGAGTCCCAAGGGAGCGAGCTCTTAGGATGCAATTCAGGCTACAACTCATTCAAAGTCCCGTCCCTTCTCAAATGCATCAATTTAATTTTTTTTTGTGTCACGATATTCACTTTTTGATTAACTCTTCTGTCACTGTTTTGAAATCATAGCAAAAATGCTATGATTTTTCAAAACTAAACAAAAAGTAAACAAAGTAAAGTTGAAAAATCATCGTATGATAATACAAAGTATTAACAAAAAATTAAACAAAAAATGGATATCATGGTACTCATCCTTAAGTATTAAGACCGCCCGTACAATCAATGTGAAGTACCCCTGGTGATACTGAGATGGATACGTCCATTACGTGAGTCTCATTCTGTGCCGTCAACACATAGATTAATTGGAAAAGCCATTTCACTTTTTTATTCAATTATGAATCCCACACTTTGATTACGTATGACATCTTCTGGCCAAGTTGCTTCTCCGCTAAATGCACTGACATATGACGTTTGAGAAAATAGGTAATTAAAAAAAGTACATTTGTGGATTTACAATGTACTTTTTTTAAATTACGTAGAAGTAATGATACCTGACAGATAAAGAGCATGTATGAAGTAGAAAAAAAAAAAGGTTTTTCAGCTCATAGATGTTGAAATTCTTATCACTGCACCCGAGCCAGCCGAAAGTCTAGCTCTGACTGATTATGGCGATTTGAAGATTAGAGAGTGTCAGGAATATCAAGATCGCGCGGACTATCAGCACGGGTATTCCATGTTAGTGATGTTACTGGGGAATGCTCCTACGCACAGCTCTGCTGGGCGCTCTAGGCCCTTGATCCCGAGTTATCTAACTCTAGTTAGTGCCAACCACTTGCTCGACATATGTGCACCAGCTCTTCCGACGCTTAGCAAGAATTTAGAGGTAGCTTTGGGAATTTAGGCAGTATACTTCAAGGTAGCTTTTAGAAAAGGAATCACCGGTGACTCTGCGAGCGAATAGTTGCTGTTGAAAGTTTGCTACTACATAGGCTACCACTTCCCGGTACTTTTTGTTTCTCATAATTAAAAATAAAAGCGGTGAACCTAAGGAAGGATTCGGGAACAAAATTAGTGATCTTTGAACTTCAGCTTTGTTCACCACACGGTTATCATCATAATGAATGACTGCTGGTCTCGTCTTTTTAAAATATAAACAATTCTTTTTGCGGGTACACTGTTTTGTTTAGATGAATAGGTAGGATTTCTACAAAATTGAAATTCTAAAAGGCAACAGAAAGCGAGAGGAAATACGAATAGGAAAAATGGATTTCCTGGAGAAATTTGATGAGTTTCAACTGTGTGAATATTTTTAGGACTGATATTCAAAGTTGAAAATGTGCGGTAAAAAAGCTTGCATCTACTGAATTATTACTGGACATATTATTGAGATGCAGTTACACTCTGAACGCATTATTCCACGCTCGTCCAATTTGGAACATTTGCCCACCCGCAGTTTATTCGCCTAAGCGTGCGATTTAATGAAATTTTAAGCAAATAAATACCAGCTCTATTTCGTGGAAACATTTTTCTGCCTTCTTGTGCCTGCCTTCCAATATTCTATTGATAGTTTTTTTAACCAAAGAAGTGAATTCTTCGTCACACTTTTTTCTTTCAGGTTAAAAGGGCCCTCCTTTCTCCA